CCTTATGGAATGGTTTTAAAAGGAGATGACATGATATATTTATATGTCAAAAAGCCTAAACTGGGCCAGGCATGATGGTTCACACCTGTAATCCCAGCACTTTAGGAGGCTGAGGCAGGCAGATCACCTGAGGTCAGCAGTTCAAGACCAGCCTGGCCAACAAGGTGAAACCCTGACTCTACTAAAAATACAAAAAATTAGCTGGGTGTGGTGGCCAGCGCCTGTAATCCCAGCTACTCGGGAGGCTGAGGCAGGAGAATCACTTGAACCTGGGAAGCAGAGGTTGCAGTGAGCCGAGATTGCACCATTGCACCCCAGCCTGGGCAACAAGAGCAAAACTCCATTTCAAAAAAGAAAAAACAACAACCAAAAAAACCCCATTAAATTTAGTTCAGAACAGTTTGGCAGCCAAAGCAAAGAAGAAGCTATAATGGGTTTGATAATTACTTTCAAAAGATAAGGAAGTGTACAGAGATATAACTTTTCCTGGTTGTACTAAATTCTAAAATAAATTACCATGTAGGTTCTTATAGGAGATTCAAATAACATTATGGACAATGTATTCAGTAACAATTTTATAGAAGTAGCAGAAACATTCTTTACATTTATAATATTTTCTTTTTCTTTTTTTTTTTTTTTTTGAGGTGAAGCCTCCCTCTGTCACCCAGGCTGGAGTGCAATGGCACAATCTGAGCTCTCTGCAACTTCACCTCCTGGGTTCAAGTGATTCTCCTGGCTCAGCCTCTTAAGTAGCTGGGACTACACGCACCTGCCACCACGCCTGGCTCATTTTTGTATTTTTAAGAGAGACAGCGTTTCCCACAGGGTTTCACCGTGTTGACCAGGCTGATCCCGAACTCTTGACCTCACGTGGTCCACCCTCCTCGGCCTCCCAAAGTGCTGGGGTTACAGGCGTGAGTCACTACTCCTGGCAGCATTTACCTTTTTTTTTTTTTTTTTTTTTAAGACAGAGTTTTGCTCTTGTAGCCCAGGCTGGAGTGTAGTGGCACAATCTCGGCTCACTGAAACCTCCTCCTCCTGGGATCAAGCAATTCTGCCTCAGCATCCTGAGTAGCTGGGATTACAAGCGCCCACCACTACACCCGGCTAAATTTTTGTATTTTTAGTAGAGACGGGGTTTCACCATGTTGGCCAGGCTGCTCTCCAACTCTGCACCTCAGGTGACCCACCCTCCTCAGCCTCCCAAAGCGCTGGGATTATAGGTGTAAACCACCGCTCCTGGCCTGCATTTACATTTTTTATATCACCAATTATCTGTTAGTGAAAACTGAGGCACTAATGCTGCAATGCTCATAAGTAAAAATTTTCTTGTGGGAGTCTAAGGGAAGGCAAACAACTTTTGTTGTCTTTAAAGACCTCAACGTGGCAATGAAGCTGATCTAGAAGTAGAGGCCCTTTAACTGGCAGGAGGCCTGAGGATTTGTGTAATGTAGAGTTGGAGCTAGGGCTAAACCTGAAGACTTAAGAACATCTCAACCAGATGTGTTCGGTTCTGGGAAGCTGGCAGAATAGGAAGTACCAGAAATCTGTAAATTGCAGTTAATTCCCGTCAACTGCAGCTCATAGCACAGTAGCAGCTGCCCATCCCTTACCTTTTAGCCACTTGGTAGGTGGCTGTGCAGGTGTTCCTGGAGCACCTTTTTTTGTTGTTGTTATTGTTGTTTTGAAATGGAATCTCCCCATGTTTCCAGGCTAGAGTCTAGTGGCAGGACCTTGGCTCGCTGCAACTTCCACCTCCCAGATTCAAGCAATTCTCCTACCTCTGCCTCTTGAGTGGTTGGGACTACAGGTGCGTGCCACCATGCCAGACTAATTTTTTTTGTATTTTTAGTAGAGATGGGGTTTCACTGTGTTAGCCAGGATGTTCTTTATCTCCTGAACTTATGATCCACCCACCTTGGTCTCCCAAAGTGCTGGGATTACAGGAGTGAGCCACTGCACCCGGCTGGAGCAGCTTTGAGGAGATAAGGTGGATAAAAAAGGATGCTTGTCCACTGATCACTGCCCTGTGCTCTGATAGCTGACAGTTTTTTTTTTTCCGGGGGGGCGGGGACGGAGTCTTGCTCTGTTGCTAGGCTGGAGTGCAGTGGCACGATCTCGGCTCACTGCAACCTCCAACTCCCTGGTTCAAGCAATTCTCTTGCCTCAGCCTCCCAAGTAGCTGGGCTCACAGGTACGTGTCACCATGCCCAGCTAGTTTTTGTATTTTTAGTAGAAACAGGGATTCACCATGTTGGCCAGGACGGTCTTGAACTCCTGACCTTGTGATCTGCCTGCCTTGGTTTCCCAAAGTGCTGGGATTACAGGCATGAGCCACCGAGTCTGGCCTTTTTTTTTTTTTTTTTTTTTAATTTGAAATGGAGTCTCACTGAGGCTAGAGTGAGGTGGAATGATCTTGGCCCACAGCAACCTCTGCCTCAGCTGGGTGCTCTGATTGGGTCCAGGGAGCAGGATTGAGACGGGGTGGGCCACTATTGGTTGGCGGGTTGTTGGGCGGGTTTTCCAGTGCCAGAGCTGGCCAGGGTTGCATTAGCCGGAGCCTTCCAGGGGAGCCATGTGGCAGAGCTAGGTGCCGAGTGCAGAGCCTAGTGCCGGGTGCAGAGGTGGGTGTGTCCGGCCTCCCGGCGAGGCAACTGGCCTTACATTCCGACCCTTTTGATGATATAGGACACTGCTTCTTTCTGGCTACTTCCTGCTGAATAAGGGGCGGAGTGTGGGAGAAGGGTCAGTTGGCTGGTGTCTCGGTTGGGAGTCAGACATAGGGGTGAAGTAGCATCTGGTTTACGGCCACCCTGGAAATTTCCTTCATGAGGGCCTGTAAAAACTTGAGGAAAAAGGGGGCTAGCATTAACAGAAGACAAACTGCGATAATGGGAGTGATAATAGGGGTTAGCCAGGTAAGCATGGGGGATTGCCACCAGTTAAGAGACGAGACTGATGCATTCTGCTTCTTGCAGAGGTCTTCTTGGAGGCGATAGAGAGTGTTGACATTTTCTTCTACAAGGCCTGTTTCATTAATATAATAGCAGCACTGCTCCTGAAGAAACAGGTACCTCCCTTTTCTGCTGTCAGCAGGTCAAGGGCCCGTCGGTTCTGGAGAGTCATCTGGGCCAGTGACGTGATTTGTTGCTGGAGGGAGGCCAGGGAGGCGGCCAATGCTTCGATAGCCACATGAAGCTTGTCCTCTAGTTGAGTGGCTGAAGTTACACTGTAGCCTAGGGTGCTGCTACCCAGCCCGGCCGCCACCAGAGAGGATGCTAGAGAGAGACCAACAACCATTGGGAGAAAGACTGCTCATCAGTCTCGGTGATTAGGGGAAGGTGGAAGGAGGGATAGAAGTTCGGCCTGTCCGTATACTTCTAACTGCGGGACTAACGTGACAGGCACACAAGGGAAAGGGAAGGAAGGAGGCTCTGAAGGGTTAGGGGGTGATGGGTCGGGGCCATGGGTGAGGCAGAGGTGAGTGGGGCCTAGGGGTTCAGATTTCCACTGATCATTTTGGGGGGCCAGTTTGAGGCGGGACACATGGTACCACGGAGTGTGACCCAGGAGTTTGGCTGCTGTGGGGGTGGTTAGGATAACAATGTGGAGTCCCGACCACCTGGGTTGCAAGGATCCTGGTTTGAGTTCTTGGAGGAGAACGCTGTCGCTCAGTTGGAGAGGCGCTGCTGGGTGGGAGTCCTCTGGTCCTGGAACAACAGGGAGGGAGCGGTCTGCTTGCTCCCTTAACAGGTGGTGGAGGAGGGAGAAGAAGGGAAGGTAGGAAGCCAGTGGAGGGGGGTTTACAGGGAGGTTGTGAGAAACCAGGAAAAGCCGGCTGTACAGCAATTCGAAGGGGCTAAGGCCCGTTGGCCCCCGTGGGGTGGCCCGGACCCGGGCCAGGGCAAGAGGTAGGAGTGTGGGCCAAGAGAGTTTTATCTCAATAGCAGGTTTAGCCAAATTGTCTTTGAGGATGCCGTGGGCCCGTTCAACTTTACCCGACAACTGAGGATGGTAAGGGATGTGCAGTTTCCAGGAGATGTTGAGGGACTTGGCGACTAGCTGGACTACTTGGGCCGTAAATGCTGGACCGTTGTCCAACTGGATGGTGGCAGGTAGGCCGAAGCAAGGGATGATTTCTTGAGTAAGAAGGGAGGCCACCGTTTCTGCCGTCTCCCGGGAGGTGGGGAAGGCTTCAATCCAACCTAAAAAGGTATCTACAAAAGTTAGGAGGTAGCGGAGCTTTTTGTGAGTGGGCATATGAGTGAAGTCAATTTGCCAGTCTTGGGCCGGTAGGTTGCCATGCATTTGGTGGGTAGGAAACTGTGGCCTCAAGCCTCCCTGAGGCGAGACCTTAGAGCAAGTAACGCATGCCTTGTGTACCTGCTCAATTGTTTGTTGCAGACCTGGTGAGAAAACGAGGGGCTGTACAAAGAATGTCTTGTCCTAAAAGGGGGACTGGGCATGAGGGTATGATTAATAAGGAGTGGGAAAAGGGGTGTCCCTCGAGGACACAGGCTAAAGGGTGGGCTTGATTAGGACAGGAAGGCTTGCCATCAATTCTCTGTGACTGAAACCTGGGAAGGTATGCTAGGTCCTGAGTAGGAAGGCAATACAGAATAGGTAGCCCCCATGTCCACTAAGAAGGAAATGGACTTACCCACTACCTGCAGCTTTACCCTGGGCTCGGCAAGGGTGATGGGGGTCTTCAAGTTCGGGCTGCATCAGTCATCCAGAAGGCCGAGAAGTTCAAGCGATGGGATTGCTTCCTGCGGACCGGCCTGCCCTCCACATAAAGGTGCCAGGGGTGGGCCTGTAGTCCAGGTCAGGCAATCATTGTGCCAATGTCCAAGCTGCTTGCAGTCTGGGCAGGGCTTGGTAGGTGGTCGGTGCTTAGTGTCCTTCCTGACCGCACTTGAAACAGGGCCCAGGCGGAATGCCTCCGGAGTTCTTGGCGGGTTTTGATGGACCGCCTCCACCAGGCACCTGGTGGGCTGCCCGCCTTAGGGCTGCTACAAGAGCTTGGGTTTGGAGGCTTACCTCTTGCTGTAGATGGGCCTGGCGGGTGGCCTCAGCCTTTTCCTCTTGGCCATTAAAAACTTTAAATGGCCGGGCACGGTGGCTCACACCTGTAATCCCAGCACTTTGGGAGGCCGAGGCGGGTGGATCACGAGGTCAAGAGATCGAGACCATCCTGGTCAACATGGTGAAACCCCGTCTCTACTAAAAATACAAAAATTAGCTGGGCATGGTGGCGCGTGCCTGTAATCCCAGCTACTCAGGAGGCTGAGGCAGGAGAATTGCCTGAACCCAGGAGGCGGAGGCTGCGGTGAGCTGAGATCGCGCCATTGCACTCCAGCCTGGGTAACGAGAGCTAAACTCCGTCTCAAAAAAAAAAAAAAAAAAAAAAACCTTTAAATGCCATGTTTACCAGGTCTCGTATGGGAGTTTGGGGGCCCTCCTCAGCCTTTTTAAGTTTCTTTCTAATGTCAGCCGCTGACTGAGAGATGAAATGGATGGCTAGAACTGTAGCCCCCAGTAAAGAGGCTGGGTCCAGCCGGGTATGAAGGATCATAGCATTAGTTAATCGGTCAAGGAAGGCGGCTGGGTTTTCAGTAGGACCCTGAGTTATTTCCCTTAACTTATCATAATTAACTACCTTTTGGGCTGCGCTTTGCATGCCTGCTAGGAGGCACTGTAGCATTTGGTCTCTGTGGCAGCGGCCATCTTGACCAGTTTGATAATTCCAATTAGGGTCGGCCTCGGGGACCGCCGCTACACCTACTGGCATCTGATTGTCTGTGAGAGGTACCTGATCAGCGTGCGCCCAGGCTGCCATAAGGATGCGGTGAGGGCGGAGGACAGAATTACATAGGTATCATGCCAGGTGAGGTCGTAAGCCTGTGTGAGGTAGCAGAATTCTTTGGTGTAAGCAGTAGGATTGGTGGAAAATGATCCTAGGGGTTTCTCAATGGCTGATAGATCAGAGAGGGAGAAGGGAACATATACTCAGACAACGCCTTCTGCTCCAGTGACCTCATGCAGGGGGCAAAGAAGGGAGGTTTCATCGTTAGGATCACAGCGCGAGCAAGTGGGAGCACTAACAGGAGAGGCTAGATTGGGACTAGGAAGAGGAGGAGCTGGAGGGGGTTGAGGTTCTGCATAGGGTGGAGGTGCAAGAGGAAAAGAGGGTGGGGCGGGAGCGAAGATACCAGAAAGCCTGAATGTAGGGAACCTCCGACCATTTACCACTTCTTTGACAGAAATTGTCTAAATTGGTTAGAATGCCAAGATTGAAAGTTCCCTCCGGTGGCCACTTGGACTTGTTGTCCAGAGGATACTGGGGCCAGGCCACGGTATGGAGAGGAAAAGCAGCCTTTTCTTTTTTTTTTTTTTTTTTTTTTTTTTTTTTGAGACGGAGTCTCGCCCTTGTTACCCAGGCTGGAGTGCAATGGCGCGATCTCGGCTCACCGCAAGCTCTGCCCCCTGGGTTCAGGCAATTCTCCTGCCTCAGCCTCCTGAGTAGCTGGGATTACAGGCACGTGCCACCATGCCCAGCTAATTTTTTATATTTTTAGTAGAGACGGAGTTTCACCATGTTGACCAGGATGGTCTCGATCTCTTGACCTCGTAATCCACCCACCTCGGCCTCCCAAAGTGCTGGGATTACAGGCTTGAGCCACCGCGCCCGGCCAGCCTTTTCTTTTTTATGGAGAGGCCCAGCTTGGGTAAATTTTGGACTAGACATCCCAATGGCGACTTGGGGTCTAGGCGGGACTCCTAATTACCCATAGTTCCCTCTCTGTTGTGGGATAGTCAGGAGTGAGGAACACCATCCTGGACCTCGACGCCCGACTACCGGAGGTTACGGGGAAGGACAGGAGTATAGGGATGTCTCCACAATATTCCTGTCTTCCAGAACGGGCGAGCAGGGGCACCGGGACGTCTCCTCGAGGCCCACAGCTCCAGACGGGAAGGAGTCCCTGATGCGGCCGCGATTACAGACAGGGTCTCCTCGGATCGGAGCAAACAGAGGATGGGGTTATGGGCAATAGGAGTCTTACCAAGTGATGGTTGCAGATGATTGGAGAGGCCGCGGCTCCCTGGTTCAGCTTATGGTAGAGGAGTCAGTTTCCTCTGGGAGGGGTCTTGAACTCCTCCCGGGTTTTCAGCACCACTTGTAAGGGTTATTGCCGAGTTTAAAATGAGGAAACTGAGGCCAGTATAAGAAAATTAAATGCTAATTTATTCAGCTCTCGGGCGAGGTTCTCTGGTCCGGGGAAAGGGGGCCAGAGAAGTCGTGCTGACTTCCTGGGGTGGGGGGTTTTTATGGCTAGAAGGAACGAGCAACAGCTGGGTGCTCTGATTGGGTCCAGGGGAGCGGGATTGAGACGGGGTGGGCCGCTATTGGTTGGCAGGTTGTTGGGTGGGTTTTCCGGTGCGAGAGCCGGCCAGGGTTGCATTAGCTGGAGCCTTCCAGGGGAGCCATGTGGCAGAGCTAGGTGCCGAGTGCAGAGCCTGGTGCCGGGTGCAGAGGTGGGTGTGTCCGGTCTCCCGGCGAGGCAACTGGCCTTACAGCCACCATGCCTGCTAATTATTTTATTTTCTTTTTTTCTTCTTTTTTTTTTAAAGACGGGGTTTCACCATGTTGGTCAGGCTGGTCTTGAACTCCTGACCTCAGGTGATCCGCCTGCCTTGGCCTCCAAAGTTCTTGGATTACAGGCGTGAGCCACCACGCCCAGCCTATGCCTGGCTAATTGTTTTGTGTTTTAGTAGAGACAGGGTTTCACTGTGTTAGCCAGGATGGTCTCAGATCTTCTGACCTTGTGATCTGCTCGCCTTGGCTTCCCAAAGTGCTGGGATTACAGGCGTGAGGCACTGCACCTGGCCCAAAGATTTTCTGATTGGCAGTTGGTTGAGTTGTTATCTAAAGACCTGGGATCAATAGGAATTTTATCATGCAGATGAAGCCTCCAGGTAGCAGGCTTCAGAGAGACTAGATTGTAAATGTTTCTTATTGGATTTAACGAAGCTATTCTGTCAGTCTTAAGATCTGTTTCAATGTTAATGCTGGTCAGCAGTGTCTGAATTCCAAAGTCAAGGAGGGAATAATGAGGCATGTCTAACTCCTCCTTCTCATCATGGCCTAAACTAGTTTTTAAAGTTGCCTTTGGAATGCCCTTGGCTGACAGGAGGGGCCCATTCAGATGGTTGGGAGTACTTAGAATTTTATTTTTGGTTTACATTCTCCTCATTCTGGCCAAGATTTGTCAGAGGCAACATCAATGGTTACCAAACTTTTATCTCATTGTGTTGCTGGGGTGGCATGGGTGTCTTCCCTGGGTCCATCCTGTCCCTCAGTGGGACCCCTATGATCAAGGGACTTAGAGCCAAAAGATGTATAGCCAGTTTGAAGGTTCTAGGCCAGATGGGAATGGATGTGGACAGGCATTCATTAACCCTTAAAATTTCTTAATATAAAAGCCAACAAACAAAAAGGCAAAGGTGAGATTACAAAATCGACTTATCTTTAACTTCTGTGTGTAGAGCTACTGTAATTTTGGTTTTAGTTATAGACTTACAGCAATTAGCTATACAAAACATAAGCATTGTTAAAATCTTTTAAGCTAAGGAATTTGGAGATTTTTGTTGTGCTACAATGCTTTTTTTTTTTTTGAGACGAAGTTTCACTCATGTTACCCAGGCTAGAGTGCAATGGCGCGATCTCGGCTCACCGCAACCTCCGCCTCCTGGGTTCAGGCAATTCTCCTGCCTCAGCCTCCTGAGTAGCTGGGATTACAGGCACGCACCACCATGCCCAGGTAATTTTTTGTATTTTTAGTAGACACGGGGTTTCACCGTGTTGACCAGGATGGTCTCGATCTCTTGACCTCGTGATCCACCCGCCTCGGCCTCCCAAAGTGCTGGGATTACAGGCTTGAGCCACCGCGCCCAGCCTACAATGCTTTTTGTGGTCTTTCAGTAATTTGTTCAAAAATTTTAAATATATATATATATCTACCTGTATATATTTCATAACTAGGAGTATTATACCTAAGAGGCTTTGACATGAGGTAGGTATCTTTATATCCTCTCAGTAATAATTTTCTTTTAATTCGTTGGGAGGCAGGAGATTCTTTATGGTTGGGATAGAGGAAAAGGTGCCACACACGTAATAACCCAGGAGGCAGAGTCCTTTATTTTGCCAGCTGTTTAGGCATCTGTGTACCCACCCTTGATTTGAGGGTCTGAACTAATTCTCTCAAAACTGGTCCTTACAATCTCACATGCCCACCTGTTCTGCTATAGGTCCCTGGGCCCAGAGGAAAGGTGCTTATATTATTTTAGCAGCAGGGAATTTGCAGTGAAAAGTAGATAGGAACCAGTGGGATCCCAAATGAGGGAAATTCACACCTCTAGTCTTCAGAATACCATGATTCTGGTTTCCATGGAAATAAAACAAGGAGATATAAATAACACTAATAATATGACAGTCAAAAGACTTTTTGTATGTCAGAGCAGAAAAAGGAAGCTATTCTATAAGGCACAAACTAAAATCATGAGAAAAATTATAACCTGGTTTGTCTTTAGAGGATTATTATAGCCAAGAAATAATTCACTGGTTCAATATACACTCAAAAACAAAAGTCCAGGCTGGAATCTAGTAACAGGTGTTATAGTATTCCTTTGAAACCATTTCTCTCTTTCTAGCCCTCCTTTTTTCTTTTCTTTTCTTTCTTTCTTTTTCTTTCTTTTCTTTCTTTCTCTTTGAAACCATTTCTCTCTCTCTAGCCCTCATTTTCTCTTTTTCCTCCTTCCTTTCTTCCTTCCCTCCCTCTCTCCCTCCCTCCTCCCTTCTTTCCTTCCTTCCTTCCTTTCTTCTTCTTTGACAGAGTCTCACTCTGTTGTCCAGGCTATCTTGGCTCATTGCAGCTTCCACCTCCCTGGATTCAAGCAATCCTCCCATCTCAGCCTCTTGAGTAGCTGGGACTACAGGTGCATGCCACCATACCCAGCTAATTTTTTTTTTTTTTTTTGTATTTTTGGTAGGGACAGGGTTTTGCCATGTTGATCAGCCTGGTCTTAAGCTCCTGGGCTCAAGCAACCCACCTGTCTCAGCCTCCCAAAAGGCTGGGATTATAGGCGTGAACTGCACCTGGCCTCTCCTTTTCTTTTAAAGACAAATTAGGCTGGGCACGGTGGCTCACGCCTGTAATCCCAGCATTTTGGGAGGCTGAGGTGGCCAGATCACGAGGTCAAGAGATTGAGACCATCTCGGTCAACATGGTGAAACCCATCTCTACTAAAAATACAAAAATTAGCTGGGCATGGTGGCACACGCCTGTAGTCCCAGCTACTCGGGAGGCTGAGGCAGGAGAATCACTTGAACCTGGGAGGTGGACGTTGCGGTGAGCTGAGATCGTGCCATTGCACTCCAGCCTGGGCAACAAGAGCAAAACTCCCATCTCAAAAAAAAAAAAAAAAAGACCAATTGGGGTGCAAAATAAATTTTAGGCTTATTATACTTGGCCTGATCATTTGCATAAAGTCTAGCAAGAATTATTTGGCCATATAGGCTCTGTTGGAACTTTACTTAAAAATGTTTTTCCAGCGAAAGCCTTGGCTAAATAACCAGTGTCTCCAATTGTCCTGCTTTGAAAGGAAAGACTCTTACTAAACTTATGCAAATAACTATAGTATCACAAAATCAGAATACTCACAGTTTCTAAATTTTGAAGAACTTTTTTTTTTTTTTTTTTTTTTTTTTTTTGAGACGGAGTTTCACTCATGTTACCCAGGCTGGAGTGCAATGGCGCGATCTCAGCTCACCGCAACCTCC